TGGTTCTGCACGCGGATAATTTGATGGAATGCATCATTTAGAAACAAGGTTACTTAAATTGAATGAATAATTTGAGCTTTTTTGGTACTGGATTGCTTTAACGTTGTGTAATCAATATAATTGCATTTGTTCGTTAAACTGTACCATTAGTACTTTTGTTTTATGCAAACTGTTTGATAGAATGCTTCACTGAAGGAATTAGTGAGAAAGCTCTCTGATAAGAATTTTTTCTACTACAACTTTTGGACAAAAAAATTAATTTTGGTAACTGTCACACACATCTCTCTATTTCTTTTAACATGCTATTTTTTTTCGTAATTGTTGTGTTGCAATTTATTGGCCATCATGTTTGAGACAAGAGTCTTTGGGGGGACATTCTTCGCTGCATCATAAACAACTACAACTGCTACCACGCCTACAGCCACAAGGCACAACCCCCTTGAAGCAGATGAAAGTTTAGATGATGACAAATTTGTCTTGTATGGTACAAGATTTTACTTTTCTTTTTCTTCATTGTGCTCATATCTTTGTTGAATGGGCACTATACTATTTGTGAGTTCTTCTATATTCAATCATTTTTTGATAGTATATCGAGCAATGAAATCCTTAGTATATTGACTTTTAGAATTCAATCTTCTCTTTTATTTAATATTGAGAAATTGAGAGTTTTTTTTTGCTTTGCTTTGCTTTGCTTTTGATACTACATTATGTCTAGGATGAACTTTTGTGAGTGTATTTATGATTGGGCCAATGGCGAACAATTATATACCATTCTTGGGCATAGTATATAAATTATTTCATTGTTATAATAGTAACAGGACTAAGTGATTTACCAAAAATTTAACACGACTGAGGAGGAGTTCAATTTAAATAAAACAAGGGTTCAAAATGGGCTTTTGCTCCTCCATGGCCTAAAAGGTGGGTACGAGTATAAGAATTGCAATGACAGGTTTCTATTGAAGATTCCTATAAAAAGAGGACACTTTTTTGTTTTCGGTAGTTGATAAATAGTGGTAGTACGGGCATAAGAATCATAATTGATATAAGTTGTCTCCGTTTAAATAAATGTTTGATTGTATTAATTCTTTTACATGTTGAAAATTTTCAAGAGTCACATTTTTATAGTGAAATATGTTAAAATTATTAGTGGGCTCATATTAATTAGTCAATTTTCTCAGTTTTTCTTATTGGTATTTTTTGTACTGTACGGTGCCTTTTTGGTATGAACAGTTGCTTGCGAATTTTTTTATGAGTTACATAGTATCTTCAGACACGGACAATTACTAGTATATATATGAGAGAAATAAATAGTTCTATTCTATATATAGATATAGATAGAGATGAGAGAGAAATAATTTTAATGTTAATCAAACTCCTAAAATTTAGGAGTTGTTAGTTTTTAAATTTGTTTTAATTAAATATAATTACTATGAGTATTTTGGACAATAGAAAACAAAACAGACTAAATATTAAACAAGTTTTTTTGATAGACTGATCACCAAATAAATTCACAAAAGAGAACTGATCTCCATATTTCCCATTATTTTACTTTCGAAGATAACGGAACATACAAAAGGTTGTGCACGGGTCCGGCGAGCAGAGGCCCTCCTGGTCTTGTATGTAACTATTTGATTTTTACCAATAGTAAACTAAAAAATATTCAGATTTCAAAAAATTTAAATATTCGACCTGTTTGAAGCTGTCTTGTTTGGGTGCGAAATAAATGTTTGAAATGTGAAATAAAAGAGTTAGAGTTAAAAAAAAATTCTTGAAACCGTTTCTCGTGTTTCTAAAAAAGCCAATTTTTCCTTGGAAATTCTTGGATAAACCCCATTTTTCAGCTTATCCTTGGTGCTGATAAAATCTGATTTTGCCCAAAAAGTTGATGAAAAATCCGTCTAATAATCTAGGGTCTAAACAAATCAAATTTCTTTTCTTCTGAAACCAAAAAAAAAATAAAATTGCAGTTTTCAACCCCAAAATAGGCCCATTGTCAGGCATGGTCAAGACTAGCTTATTGGCATAGTCTGAAGCCCAAGCCCATTAGAGCCCAATAATTTAGCCAAGGCTGTGATGGATTGGGCTGCTCGAGCTGCACGGGCCACTGGAATCAAGCCCCAACNCCCCCCCCCCCCCAAAAAAAAAAAAAAACAACTACGATGGCAGTGGTGCTGTGAAAGCGGTGATGAGAGAAGAGGGAGAAGGGAAGTGTGGAAGAAAGGGGAGAAATGGTAAAAACACCCAAATGAGTTTGGTTTCATCAAGGAACGAGAAGCNGAAGACTCATTAACAATGAAACCTAAATCAATCTTGATTATTGACATCGAATGATTCTAACTAGCCTTCTCGACAGCGTGCTAATTTTTTACATGAAATTGACACAAACCGATGTGACCAAAATTGAAAATGATACGACCAGGTAACATGAATAAAAATGTTGTGGGTTATTGTAAAAAATAAATAATTTTCTTTTGACACAATAATCCCGTTTAATTATTATTGTACAAAAAAATTATACGACTAAACATCAAATGATCTCTATTTAAACATCTTTTTTAGAATAATTTTTGAAGTTTATATATATTCAATATTGTTTTAGTAATAGTTATGGAACATTTTAGTGTTTATTGTTATAAAGTGTTCAGCCTTGCATCTACTACTCTTAAACTCAACTGTATTAAAAGTTCGTAAGCTAATAATACAATATGAGATGTACAATATAAAATGCAAGCACAAAAGTNAATCTAAAGACAGATATTGATTGGACAATTATAGATATCAAACAACTTAACCCAGAACCCAATTGCTGGGCTCAATTTTCCAGTGGGTGGGTGAGCCCATAACAGCTCCTCCGATAGGATAATCATTTGCATGCTGGTAATNCACAAAAGTATTTTATGCTATCTAAAATAATCAATTTCTTAACAATATAGAGGATGATCTCAACTAAATTTTACAACTAAATGAAGGAAACATTTGTAATAGACTTGGTGATTGTGTACGTTAAAACAAAAAAAATATTGAGAAATTTAACTTATAATTAACTAGTTATAGATAGTTTTATGTTTTTTGTTTGTTACAAGATGTTCAGGCTTACGTTGACTACTCTCTCGAGCTCAACTAAATTTTGTGTCTTTCTTGCACATATTTTATTTAGGCTAAAACTTAAAATAGTGATATAATTTGTTAATTTAATCAATTACAACAATTGAGTAGGTAGTGAGTTCTCAATCTTATTGAGATCCACAATTAAATTAAGGACATCGACTGATCAAATGAGTATTTTAAGCCTATTGAATAGGTAGTAAATCCTAATAAAAATTGATACCCACAAGTAACAGTTAATTAATAATTAATAACAGTGATTACTCAAGTAAACATTTTAAGTCTACATAATATTACACTTTGTGATCACCCAATCTTTGCCTTTGATTATGTACAATCTCTAGTATATATACATATACATGTGCAGCCTGCGCCAATCATGTGCAGTCCATGCTAATTAGTGTGCTGAAAAATACAATTTCATTTTTACATTATATACTTTCTGTCTATAGTCCCTTTTAGTTACCCATTCTTTCGTCAAAGTGATCAAATGTCCATGAAAAGATTCGATTAATATTTTATTTTAGTATTTTGTGTTATTTTATTATTTTTTCAAACAATGATCGTAAATCATTCAAATTAATATTAATGACTTGAGATGAATTTTGGTGTAGTTTCGATTCGATACTGGCTTGATCCAAGAATATAAAACATGTGCCTGGGGAGTTTTACACTTCATAAACATGAAATAAAAGAAAATAAAACATATCCTTTTAATTTTATGTCAATTAGATTGGACATAAAATCTAACAGTGCATTTTAGTTTACAAATCACGAGAGACTAACGTGACTTTTTTTGAATGTGAGAGAGATGATCTAGAAAATAACTTAATTATATGGAGGTAAAGTAAAGTTTACCCTAAAAAAAATGATAAATTGACTCATAAATTAAGTTACTTGATTAAAATAGAATTATTGATTGCAAAGTAGATCAGAAAGTAAAAGAAGAAAGATTGAATGTAGAGAGAGTCTTTCCTTTCCCCTTTTGTCGGCAAAACCAGCCATCCCATGCCAAACTTCCATCTTGGATAGGACCACTACGATAAGAACCGGGCCACCATGAAAACAATAGAATAGTTTTAAAGACACCCCCCCC